GAAAAAAAATAAAAAAAAACCTTTTGTAAAGATAAGTGAGCTTCCCTTGCTCAAAATATTTTTTTTTTTTTTTTTTTTTTTTTTTTTTTTTTAGGCATCTGTGCACTTGAATATGGGAAACTTCTCATTGTTAATGAGCAACTTACAGTTTAATAGTTTTAATCATCCCAATCAATTATATTGATGGGTTTGGGGGATTTTTTTTTTACCTGTAATAAGAAAAAAATGTGACAAAAAAAAATGTTAAAAAGGGGACTCTGAACGCATGTCTAATCAAGAGAATCAGATAGAGGAATAAAAAAAATATTGATCAGCTGCATTCCTGTTTTTGCTTAAACCTACAACAGCAAGATTATTCCGTTTCGGTGAACAACCTGAAGAGGAGTAAGTCTTTTGCCTCCAGGGAACTTCGATGAATCAGTCACAAGCACCCACCAATAACCTCTGACTCACAGTTGCCGTGTCTATCGCCAAGCGGCTCAGCGAGGTTAAGGTCATGCCCCGTGTTGGCCAGCAAGGTTCCCTCACGCTAAACTCTGCAAACAGAGACTTCATGAAGTGGGACGATCTGAATCCTGAAAGGCTTCTTGTTTACTGCAGCCGCAAAGTTGGATCTACTGTTATAAGTAGAATATGGGTGTATCGCGAAATCTGGAAAGCACAGTAATCCCCCCCAGACGCATATCACTTGGCAAAGTTTTACTGGCAGAAACATGGCAGTGCTGGGAGTCCTCCGGGTCCTAAACAAGTTTTCAAGCTGACAGAATCGCCCTGTTTTGGTTGAGCTTTATTTTTCGTTGCTCTCTGAGTGCTTTGACTTTAGGCTTGTCAAACTCTTTGTCTTGGGTACATGTGGGGATTTATTTTGATATTTTTGAGCCTGAGCCTCATGCGCGTGACAGCGGCTGGACAGCTCGAGCTGAAGTTTATCGCTTTCTCGCCTCCTCGCTTAGATTAGTAACACACGGTGGCACCTCATCCAGATAACCTTCTACCGTCACACAGCGCTGCCATGGAGGTGACGGAGAAAAGAATGTGGAGGTGGGGTTATCATATGTCTGCTGTGTCTGTTCAGAGAAGATGCTGAGAACACACTGCCCTCTAGTGAAACATTATTAGAGCATCAAATCCTTTAAAAAAAAAATAAAAAAAAAATAAAATCCTGTATGGTCTGGGTCCCATTTTGTTCTGTTTGTACGAATAACACCGAGCAAATGTTTCAGCATCAAGTACGTAGATCCATCTTCATTTTTCTTCTCAGGATTTTGAGAAGCCCAGTCCACCACAGAAACCTCTGCCTGCTGATCCGTTGGGGCGGAGCTCTCGGCTTGGGTACAGCATCACACCGTCGGGGCTCCACATCCCAGGGACCGGAGCGATCCCGGTACCTATCCCCAAGGTTCCTGGACCGCCGCCCAGCATCCCTTTACCAAACAGGTCTGTTCAAAACAAAATAAAGCCTGTCTGTCGGTGTAATCTCAAGTGTTCATTTCACATTTTGGCCGTTTTGTTCCTGTGCATATTTGGAGAGTTAATGGGTGAGTGGTGGTGTATCTTCTGATAAACCACCAAATGTGAAAAATTAAAGAAAATGTGTGGACATTTTATTAGTTATGTGACGCTTTGTGTTGCTCGATCGCAGAAAAGGACAATCAAACACAATCACGTTGACCTAGTTCTGCTTTATTAAACCCGTTGACCGTTATTTGTGTTTCAGACCTGTGCCAGCATTGCCCTACAGACCACCAAAGAATCAGGACTGCTGAGCAGTCGACTTTGCAGATGAGTCAAAAGAGAAAATCTCACAAAAAAGAAACGGAAGAAACTACAAAGACTTTCTTGCTTTGCACTAATCTTTGAGACGAGACTCTGTTGGACATGTTGGACCACAGGAAGAGTTGCAAAGTTTCTGGGGAGAAACTAGGATGACCGTCACACCTTGGTGCTACGCCTCTAGAAGGTGCTGTCCTCTCTCAGGTACCGATGAACTATTTATCTATTTAACTATTTAACTCTGACATTATAAGCCTGTGTGCAAATGAAGAAGAATTTTCCACAAGGATGATTTGAACAAAAGGAGAAATCAAGTCATTTTTAATTGTTTTACATTATTTGTACTTTTAAAAAAAAAAAAATATGTGCTTAAATTGAAGTCTTTTTTTTTTAAGCAATTGATTTTAATTGAGCGATAGAACTGTAGACAAAGTCGAACTTGAATAAAGACGAAGGGAAACGGGGCACAAGTCAGTTTAACAGCGTTATTTATTTAGTTATTCTGTTCACAGGCTTTTCAATATCAAAACACTTCCTCTGTATTCTATTTGCCATTGTGCTTGGAAAACTTAAAAATATAAGCAATTACTGACTAGAAAATACGATTTCCAAGACGGAAAATGATTCTGTTTTGGCTCACGTCAAGGCACCTAAATTCCCTTTCATTGGCTCTGACAAGTGTTGGATGCTCAACATGTTCTACCGATTCAGACGAGACGTCAGAAACCGAGTGCTGACAGATTCCACAGACCGATCGCACTCCAGCGAATTCCTCCAGCAACCAGTTCATCAGTATTAACGCAGGTGTTTGTATATTTAACGTTCACGCTCACTTCGCCCTCCATCCTGAGAGCCAAGCCAGATGACCTCAGCGCTGTCAGCTCTCCAAGTTCCACACTCTAAGTCAAACAACATGTTTTACTGTTCCTTTGTTGCTGTCCCCCCCCGCACTCTTTTGTTCTTCTACGAGTTTTGATTTTTGTATTGCTTTGCTGTTTCTCCCTGTCCATTTACAGACTTAATCATGGGATTTTTAGAGTGCGGTGTTGCACTTACGGGCACTTTTCCGGTTCATCCAAAAGTCCACAGTAACACAATGGAAGTCAGTTACGTCCTGCTTTGTGTTTCTTTACAAAACAAATAATTAAAAAAAATGTGTTGATCTTGTTAAAGTGTGAAACAGTTGGAATGACGGCTCACTGTTGGAACATAAACGTTAAAACTGTGTGAATCATGTGGTAAATGTGTTTGTAAGGACTGTTCACCAAGTTTACTGTAAAGTGTAACTATTGTGTCTGTTGCCATTTTCATTTTGTTCTTATCTCTTTGTTTTACAAGCACAGAAATGTAAGAACTGCTCTGCGGCTGAGCCCCATTTATCCTTCTCAGTGAGAACCTGATATTTAACACTTGAGCGTTGCAAATGAACTTTGAGGCCTGACTGTTGATATCAGAGGTCAAATAAAGTTTTTTTTTGTGATAATGAAAAAAAAATTGTTTTATTTTATTTTTAACTCATAAACTGCTGCAACAAATAACTTCTGTCCACAAGTTGCAAGTTTGACGCTGGTTGAGCAATACTGCCACCTGCTGGGTAATACATGTCATTACAACAACTAAAGACCCTGTTACATTTTAAGACTGCCACAGAGAAAATGCTGGAGTCAAATCACAGGCACTGACATGTATCACAATGTGAAATATTACAAAATTTGAAATCTTGAGTTATTTTTTATTTAATTTAGTTGAAGAAGTGAATTAACAGAATAATAATAAATTTTGTGATCATGGCAATGTGTGGGATTCCAATCAGATGAATTTGTTAGCCAATCAAGCACCTTGATGCCATGGTCATTAAACCAGATAATAGTACTTTTGGTACTATTTTTCTAAAAATAAAACTATTTTTCGACAGAAAAGTGGATCTGATCTGGTGGTTTCGCTGAAGGCCGAGCGTCTCTGTTTCTGTAGAGATCACAGCTGAAGTTGGTAATGATCTGAACAACTCTGGATTCTGACCAGTAAATAAAGTTTATTTAGTTCAGAAACATCAAAACGACAAGAAGTTCATGATTTACATTTAAGTTAAATCCAATCTGAACATTTAATTAAGATCTTTTGACTTATATTTGCAAAAAATAATAATAATAATTAAAGATAAAGAAAAATTTATTTTACAAAACTTTATTGCACTGACTCAGAACAGCAGTTCTCTAGAAAGAGCCAGAATTCCCACGCAGCCGTGAGCCCCTCCCACTTCCCCGAGCTCAGGCAGGTGGTCAGTCCCAGTGACCTGATTCAGAAAACCTCACCTGCACACAGAGACCCCACCTTCAGGAATAAAAATGGAAACTGATCTTCGAGTTTTCGATTCCCAGAATCCTTGGCTAAAACAAAAAATATATATATGAAGACTGATTTATGCCCTACATTGTTATGGAGAATTAGCTTTCTCTGATACATTCTGATATTTTTACGTTTTTCTTGTTTATAGTCGCAGTTATTCAAGGTAGGTGTGTGTATGATAGGAATTTTTTACTTTTGATATTACTGTCTTTAACTAAAGGTACAACCAAGAAATAAATTTTGTACATAGGTTAGAAAACCTGGTCTTGGTCTTGACTCGGTCTCGACTTTCCCCGGTCTTGGTCTCGAACCCTAAAAGTCTTGGTCTTGGGTTAGTGGTCTTGACCTTGTCCACTCAGAACAAACGTCATTTGTCTCTCTCTGATCTCTCAACACAACATGATCACAGTGCCATCTACTGGCAACGCCAAGCAATTATCTTTCCTCTTACTATAATAACACTATTTTTTTTTTTTTTTTTTTAATGTTTAAATATACATGGAATGTCGGGGCTCTTTATAATAGTATTTGTAACTCATCTTATTCTTTGATATATTATTTTTCTTTTTTAATATAAGAGAAAACCAAGTTTTACAGAGTGAACTTATGTCTAAATATCGCAAAGAATAAAAGCAGATCAGAGCTAACTCTTAACTTTATTACCCAGCCTCTCATCAAAGAGCAAATTCATTTCTAAGTGTCACCACATGTAAACAAATGTGTAATTCCACAATGGGCAGATTGTGGTTGTTGTTGTTGTTATACTGTTCATTGTAAACACCAGGCCCCCTGAGCCAATCTGCTCAAATCAATGCGCGTGTGTGTTGCGTGCTGATGGCCACACTACTTCTGTGGGATTATCGGCCACATGACAGTGCTGGGCTGGGCTCCCACTGAGCCTTTCACTTGGCTTCACTTGCAGAGGGGGTCTCTGTTGCCGTCTAGCAGGGTGCCGAGAGCCGGGGACCTCTCCAAGCCAAATCTGCGCGGACCTGGACATGAGGTGGTGGTGAGGAAAACTGAAAACTCAAGTGAGATGGAGCCACACATGCTGAGTTTGAGTGGAGAATACTGCGTCGAGGGGAAGTCCCCGTGTTGTTTGGACTCTGAGACTTTGAGTCAGGGAGACAAAGAATACGATGATATCCTGGAGCTTAATCAGTTTGATGGACTTCCTTACTCGTCAAGGTTTTACAAACTGCTAAAAGAAAGGAAAGAGCTGCCGGTGTGGAGGGCAAAGGATGAATTTATGGACTCTTTGACCAAAGGACAGTTTGTGGTTCTTAGTGGCTTTGCCAAGACTGGAAGAAGCTCTCAAGTGAGTGCCTTACATCTTTTCTCTATAAGCAATCTTTTTTTTTAAGTGAAACATGTTACTTTTCTGCTAAACTATTGGGGAGTAATCCGTCCCACTTTTGTTTTGCATCAGATTCCTCAGTGGTGTGCTGAGTTCTGCCTCTCGGTCCGGTTCCAGCACGGGATGGTGGTGTGCACCCAGATTCATCCACAGCAGGCGGTTGATCTCGCTCTGAGAGTGGCCGATGAGATGGACATCAACATCGGCCACGAGGTCGGGTACACCATCCCTTTGGAAACTTGCTGCACCAGTGAAACTTTCCTCAGGTAATGGAAAAGGTGGTGCTGCAACATTAAAAAAAAAAAAAAAAACAGACCAACTTTTTTTTTTTTTTCCATTACACACACTGCTAAATCAACTGGCCTTTTATTAAATCTCAGGCGAGACGAGAACAAAAGGCTAGAGGGGCTCTTTTCAGCGGCTGCGTCACAGCTGCCCCGCTCCCTGTCCACCCATATGTCACACTCTCCATGTGGGTGCCTCATAAGTCAGATGGGGGACAAAGGAACTCTGCACTCTGCCCTGTGGGGGATTTCGGTAGATGAGAAAAAGAAAGAAACCTTGTGATAAAAGTCGGTTTCTAAATTTAATTAAATACCACAAGTGAACCTGAAAAGGTCATTCAAATGTGACCAGTATATATTTTATTGTGTAATTTTACAACAATGCAGACCTGAAAATACCTTCAACAGTCCTCGAGATCTGCCATCTGGACGGCAAACTTGAAAAAAGGATTAAACAAACCTTTTTTTTTTTTTTTTTTAATCAATTTTGCCTCAGGTATTGCACAGATGATATGCTGCTGAGGGAAATGATGTCAGACCCTTTGCTTGAGCGTTACGGTGTGGTGATCATAGACCAGGCCCACCAGAGGACCGTTGCTACCGATGTGCTTTTGGGTCTGCTGAAAGAGGTCGCCCTGCAGAGGCCAGAGCTCCGCGTGGTCCTCCTGTCTGCGACCAAACCGGACCCCAAGCAGCTGAACCTCTTCACTGGGTCAGCACTGCCAGCCATCCACCTGGAGGCCCCAGAGGTTGGGGAGGTGGCGTACAGCAGCACGGGCGACAGCTACTTCTGCTCTGCTCTCCGTCTCGTGCTGGAGATCCATCGCTCCAAGGAGCCGGGGGATGTGGTTGTGTTTCTGGTGACGATGCAGGTAAGACGCAACCCTGCTGTCCTAAGTCTGACAAAAAAAATTGCTTTGTTGCTGAATTATCTCTGTTTATGTCCTCTATTAGGAAATAGATCTGGCCCATGACATCCTGTGTCATGAAAAGCGAGGCTTGCCACCTGGTCTGGGTGAACTGCTGCCCATAGCTGTACATCCTGACCAACCTGGGAGTCTACCAACATTTGGGGAGGAGGCGGGTCAGACCAGACGAGTGTTCCTCACAAGCAGTCCAAATGAGGACTTTTTCTGGGCTTATAGCTCAATTAACTTCGTTATTGATGCTGGAGTGGAAAAAAGATTTGTAAGTTTTGCATTATTTCTTGTGATCTCGCATCGATCCGACATTTGTGGCCAGTTCAGCCAGCTGCACTTTATGAACTAAAAGCTTTTATTTCTCTACTTTCTGAATCCATTTAAAACATCTGAACATCTTAACAATACAAAGTTTGTTGTAAAATAAAACAGTAATTAAAAAAAAAAGAAAAATATCAAAAGACATCCAAGGTCTGCATTCCTGAAACTCAAAAAGTTCAGTAAAGTAACCCGGCTTCAGGTCAGAGGTGTTTCAACAGGCGATAATCCAACTGCAGAAACTTCCAGCACAACTCAGTTTTATTTCACAATTTTTTTTTTTCCTTTTCTGTTTTTCTGTACATTTCAAAATGTAATATGCACCATATCACAAAGCAACAGTTTGGTCCATTCTAATATCTAACGTTCTTCATATAAGGAACAGGCACCTTCACACCGTGTGAGGAAGCGAGGTAAAACCAGCTGTTTTATCTCCACTGTTAAACAGTATTTTATTAATACTTCTAAACAAGAAAACAAATAATTGCAGAGTTGTTGTTTTATACATTCTGTATTATCTTTATATGTCCCTAGCATTATCAGTACAATTAACAGCATTTGCTTAGCTTCCTGTTATCTGCTGATGTCTCAGCAGAGATGCTCTGTCAGAGTGTATGTTTGTGTATCAAAGTGCATTAAAATAAAATCTATCAAAGAAAAAGAAAAAAAGTATATCCTTGCTTCTGTGATGCAGGGGGGAAAAAAAACTTTTTTAAAGACATAAATATATAGTTCTGGATCTCTCTAACTCCTTTTTGCCATTGTGTTGCAGGTTTACAACCCGAGAATCAGAACAAACTCTGTCATCATCCAGCCAATCAGCTCAGGTCAAAGCGAGTGCCGCAAACAGCTGGCTGGTCCAACAGGTGAGCATGTTTTAGGCACTTCTTGCTGGTTAAATGACCTTTTGGCCTTCAAAATCTGCTGGAATCTATGATTGCCAAATCCCAGAAGTGTTGTTTTGGATATGGCGACTGTACAAGCCAGTAGAGGACGGTGAACTTACGTCCATGTTCAATAAAACCAGTTTGAGTTCATTTGAACTTTGCAAATTGATAAAAGAAGATGAGCGTACTGCGGCTTTTCGACAACGTACACGTTTAGCAACAATTCAAACGTGTCAAGAGAATATCTCCGATACTACTGCATCAAAACCCAAACTGGACTGATGTTGTTTACACCAAATCATGAACCCAGCATCTGAGCGAACCAAATTGCATCAGTCCGGTGTTTTCCAGTCTGTTATTGTCCAGTTTTTTCCTTAGTCAGCTAACTGATCTATCTGGGTCTAATAAAGTGGCCAGCGAGTGAATGTAAATCCGTAGTTGTGATTATCCAGCTGTGTGTAAGATTACCGTTCTGTCCTGCAGGCAAGTGTTTTCGTCTTTACCCGAAAGAGAGACAGCTTCCTGCGAAGATTCGTCCCCGTATTATGGAGTCTGACATCACCTCCACCGTGCTGTTCCTAAAGAGGATGGAGATCGCCGGGCTGGGTCACTGTCACTTTATCGACAGGCCAGGTGAGATTTATGTGTTCACAAGCTTGAAACAAAACAAAAAAAAAACATTGAATATTCTGCGGCTTTTGCAACAGTTAAGCCTGTGTTCGTCCCCGAAAAATTCACTTAGTGTTGGACGATAGAATCTTTCGATCCAATCGGTTTTGTTCTCTTCTTGCTCCAGCAGACAGGAACTTTTTTTTTTTTCTTTTTGTTATTATTGAAAGGCAGTGAGCCATGCATCAGCTGAGCCGACAGCTCCTGTTCTGTGAGCATCCTTTCAGCGCTGACCTCCTTCCGTGTGCTTTTGTTCTCGTCGGATTTATGCACAGAAAAGCACCACAAAACACGCACACACACTCATTAGCTGATTAGAGCACAGGCATGGCTGAGCCGGTGTGAGGGTGAGCAGATAATAGGGAGCCTTTCTTTCCCTCTTGTTTTGGCTTTCTCATTTAACACTATAAAAAA